AGGTGATCAAGAAAAAATGAGCAAAAAGTTACAAAACTATTTGGCCTTAGCCAAAAACCCGTGTGAACAAAGCCTTTCAAAGGTATAATGGCTGCCTTACCTCAACTAACCTCACCCTCACTTTCGCCCTCATTTCGATGTTCTGGAAGCAACCATATATGGCCGACCGCCAAGTATTTCCTTTTGTTCTATCGTTTTCAGCACATAAGAATCCTTTAGGAAGCATAAAAAGCAAAAAAACCGGAGGTGGCCAGTAAATTGAACTTATACCGAATATTCAATCATATGCTACTTGTATTATAATTTTGAGTAGAATATAATTCACGATAGATATAAAATCGGTCGATCTAATTTAGCTTTCCTGATTTTTTATCATATCAACGTATTTAAAACTTCTATTGATCTTCAAGTTTATTCATAGAAGATATGGAATGAAATTTTATAGGCAGTTGATCACATTAGATAATATCATTTATCTGACAGTGTGTTTATAATCAATTCTATTGTTAAATACATTATGCTTCAGCGATGGCATCGATATTTATCCGAACCGAACTTCAGACTATCTCATTACTTCTAGATCTGTCAATTCGATCTGCTTTACTCAATTCAAATCGATACTATTACTGATCACCAAAAATTCATACCCGTTAAATCTCTAACTTAAGATTTTATTTGTAAAATATTGTAAGAATTCAATCAAAAGATATTTTCCATATTTAATATTTGAAATATATTCGAATTATAAGAAAAGAACGTCATATTATCGAAACAATTTATACAACTTAATTAAAATTTGATTTTTTATTTAGCTTCGTTCTACTCTTGATCAAGATGAATTGACTACTGTAAAAAAAAATCTTCAAGCACAAAAAATCGATGTATCCAATGACTTTGTATGATCATATATATATATATTCTTATTATTAATATAAATTTTATTCTTAGATAAATGATACATGGCAACGTGTATATAAAATTTATTTTCTTAAACAAAATCTAACGACATGTGTTGATTGTCGTCGATTTTTTTATTATTATCAAAAAGGATTTTCTGATCAAGGTGTACGTAAGATGAACTACAATTATCGATGAGAATTTCTTGATTTCCTTTTTTCTTCTGTTCTATATAGCTTGATTGTCATGAAATTGTTTTCTTTTGGCGTTTAAAACGTATGATTGAAATTACAAGTAATGCAATTCGACAACAAATATCAAATATTGAAAGTTTGTTTTAAGTGTATTTTGTTTTTTCTTGAATTAAAGTAAATGTGATTTTTTTTAGCTCGTCGACTTGAACGAGAAGTCAAAGATATATTAGATGATTTCAGTGGAGATGAAATATTGAAAGCAAATCTTCTTAAAGGAAAAAGAATTGATTTAGCTGAAGAATTGAGTAAATTATTTTATTTCTTTAAAATAGAAAAAAAAAAACATTTTGTTTTTATTTTAGAACGTGTTCGACAAGTTCAAGAAAAATTAGAAGAATTTATTGAAGCATTAAATACAGAAAAATAATATTTTTCTTCTGTTATTTGTCGATCATTAATATCTGTTGATAAGTTTGTTCGAATTTTTCTTTTTATATATAAATATGTAGGAAAGCCCATTATCAGTCTATGTGTTCCCGTATTTTGCCTTTAGTGTGTTTGTTTTTTTTTCTTTTTTTTGCTATTCGAAGTTATTATTATTTTTTTTGATAAAAGATCAAAGAAGTCTTATCTGAACTAAATTAATTTACAACAATTCAAGATTAGAAGCTTTTCTTGATAAAAATTCACTGCCATTTTGATACATCCACTTATTTAGTTTCTTCAATCTTTTATCGGTTTTTGTTTTTTAATGAAAATTGATCGATTGAATGTATAAATAAACAAGTTTCATCAATGAATATTAATCTATGGATTAAATATTTGTAGTTCAATTGCGGCCATGTAAAATTTTTTTTTCACATCATACAATTTATTCTTGTATTTTGAAATACTAGACTTTCTCAATTGCAATATTTTAAAAATGTATGTCGCAAAAAATAATAATTCAATGATAGACAATAGTTAGAACATAGAATTTGAATACAATGTACCATAAGTTGAGTCTTTGACGTTTGATCTTGATGAGAGAACATTTTTCACTTATCAATCGCTTTTGATTTTGACCTCTGTGCTTTTAAGAAAAAAATTCAGCTCAAAAGAATTCTATTTTCATGAGATATTAAAATAACACAAAATAACTGATATTCTATGAAAGATGCTTGAATCTTTTGTTTTTTTTGGGATTTTAATATGTCGAGAAATAAATATTCATTTGAGCTGAATTCTTCAGAGCATTTTACTGACAAATAGACCTGTCTGTAGACAATATCTCAAGTCGAAATATCAGTAAAATGCCTGTAACTCTGGACAGAAGACCTACGTAGATTAATCCTTTTGAGGTTTTTTTGTATGTTGCTGGATTCTACTCTATGTATAGGAGCCGAATTCAAAAACGATTACTCAGTTGAAAAGGTTCTTTTGTAAGATGCAGTAAAATATGTAAATTCCGCTTCATTCTGAGACTTATTCATAATACAATAGATATTTACATCGAGTTCTATTAGTATTGTATAATAACATGAAATGATCTCGTAAAATATTCATGAATCTTTGTCAAACAGATATGGTTATTTCTACTACGAAATTTTAACAGCATCGAATGATCATATTAGATTACTTTTTTTTTTAACAGGAAAAGATGTTTTTCGCTTGTTAGATTTTTTTTTTTTTGAGATTTACTCTTCATTTGTCAATATAAAGAGAGAGGTCGTAGTAGATATGAGTAATTAAAATATTTGAGTACACAGCAAGCACCTTCATAACGAGTCAAACTTATCGAAGACATGAAATATACCTATGCTCTATAACTATGGTGTCTTATTACTCAGTAAGCGATATCAAAACTCAGATGAATTTTTGCATAACTGCGCTGATCCTTTGGGGTTCATATTTCTTTCAATTGTTTGAACAGTAGTTATTATTGATCAAGAAACTGTTCTATAAAGCAGTCTGAACACATAATACGATTTTTGAAAACATATGTATAAATAATCTTTAGCAACACAAAAAACCTTGAAGAAAACTAATATAAAAACAACGAATTGTTGATTGTCACAATATTAAAGCATAAACTAAATAATAATACATTTTTCTTTTGTATTGATACGAAGTCAAATGTTAATGAGATGTGAAATATGTCTTTAGACATCTATTTATCTTGCTTGTCTTTTTTTGTAAGGTGATCAAGTGGAAATTGATCATTTGAACACTTTAAATTGTATTAATGCAGAAATTCCTATAGTTTTCATATACAAAATAGCAATCAAGAAAACTACGAGAAACCAAAAAGCAGATTAAATATTCAATTCATTTATGATATTAATATTTTTATTTGTGCAAAAAGAAAAGATTAATTTTATCGTTGTTTTTTTAAAATATTGTATAATAAAATAACAAGAATCTAATCCTTCAATTTATATATAAAAAGTATTTTGTTTCACAAGAAAATATTTGATCAAGTTCTTGTTCTTAAAAAAGAGATTGAAAATGATAAAAATCTCTCTAATGATAACATATCAGTAAAGATTTATATAGAATATATGTTTGCAAACTTTTCTATTTGAATATCAATTGGTTGATACATAGTATTATTCATCGAACACATCGTTCTCATTTTGTCACTAATTGACTTATGAATCATCGATTGTTTTTCAAATATATTCTTCTATTGGTAAAAACCTTAAGGTTTCATTACTGGATATATATTTTTTTTTTGATAAAATAGAATTTACTGCTTCCTATATACCAAAAATATATTTTTAAGTAATTCATGAAAAAAAAAAATCTGTTATTTATTTTATGTTCATCTAACAAATGTTTTCTTGATGTGTGTTAATAATCAATCTGAATTTGTTTATAATTTAACTTAAATTGAATTATATAACAAATAATGAATGATCGAGTTTTTCAATGATATGAAGTCAAAATAACTCGAATAGTGTAACACTAATGAATTGAATATCTATTAGTCAGCATAGACCAAATGTATTCTGAGTGTCAGTATCAAACGTCTCAAACGATAGAGTCATTGTTACTCTTTCTTTACATTGAACATGGAAAATGAAATAAAAAGTGGAAAAAAATTATATAGAATGATACCGAGAGCTGGCTGCAATAGGATGACTACTGATGCTTTTTTTCTTATCGAAATCGATTAACTTCGGATTAGTTTTGAAAACGTTTTTGGCTCAGATGGAATTGTGTGATCATATGTTCCAGTACTATCATATTGAGTCACAAAATCTTCATTCATATGAAACGTGAATACTTATTATATTTTCAATCTTTAACAATTCGTATTAGTCTCATTATCATTCGAATGTCTACTGAAAACATAATTAAAAGAAATAAAAATTTCTTTGGTACTGCTTTGCCTAAAAGATTTATTTGACTCTATTTTACTTTCTTGTTAAGTTCTTTTAAATATTATTATTGCTTTTTTTACAACTTTTTAAAGAATACTTAGAACCATACACATGTATGGATTCATTATAATATTTTATATCAATACACGATAGAATGTTGACTAGTAGAATACTTTTATTATTAAGATTTGTCGATGATTATAAAGATAGAGAGTCCTATTCAAGTTATTTCGACATTTTTCTACAATGAATCAGACTAATTCAGATGTGGTAAGAGTTTCTTTTCTGTTTGATATGCATTTCGAAGATCATCAATTCTGTTAATCATCACAACTTCTTATTGGTTCTTTTTTCGTTTGCGCATTTTCTAGACATAGCAGTATTTCATCTATTGAAAGAAATAAATTTTATTGTTTACTTTGTAGATACAGATAAGCCATGAACTTTTAGAGTCATAAAAGTAATTATTCACAATGTTCATAGCTTGTGCTTTTGGAATCATAGTCATCTATGACATTGAAATATAAAACTGTTCTGTCTTGAACTAAATAAGATGGTAATGGTCTGGATTAAGCACATACGGATTAATGAGATGATGTTGTACAAGTAGACCCACAGTAGTTAAAGCTAGTTTTTCTTCCACAGCTGGTCCTCGATTTTGCCAATATTCACCAAATACACCATGTGAATCAGCTGGATTCAACTCAGAAACATTGAAACCATTTCGAGCAATAGCGACAGTTAATCTATGCATGTCTTGATCAGCAATTAATACAGGAATAGGACCTTGGTAATGGCTTTGATTGAATTCGTCTGCAAAGACTTGATAGGTATCTTGTGTTTTACTATTTCGATGCCTTTTACCAAAAATAGGTAAAGCAAACACAACAGCACGTACATTTCGATAAGTTGACCCATCTTCTTCCAGAACTTGTCGAATAGCGGATGCAGAAAGTGAACGTACTGTTTCATCGATTCCAATAGCTGTACCAGCAAAAATACCCAGTCCAATACCTGTTTCGACTACAACTTGTATTAGTTCATTATCACATGCTCGTAGTCGAAGTCTTGCCATTCGCATTAAATCATTTCGAAGACGATCTTTGTCTAGTTTTCCTCG